CTGGCATAACAGTGAAAAGCTCGCTTCACAGGTTGTAAAAATTGCCAGTGCTTCGAGCTACAACAGGTGAAAAGTAAGTTGAAGGAGGTGCCATCACAGTCCAAACAAGCTGGGTACACATATTCATCCCCCGGTTTATGCCGATGAGGTTGTAACAAGTGTCACATCAATGTAATTGATATGCCGTTGCGTGACTGAACATGTACTGGGGAATACCCGATGTACTTTGCCGAGTGCATTGTTAGACCTGGCGGCAGGCCTGGGGCTCCTGGCGCAGGCGCGACGTCGATGCACTTTAAGCCCCGCAACGTACAGCGACCAAACTAGTTAGAGGATTGTTTCAACTCTCCTACAAACACAGACTGGAGTCCATGAGATTGTACAGTGGTGAATATCGACGTCAGCGAGGAAACCTAATCATGGTTTACTTACCCGTGATAAATCATTGTTCATTGGTAAATCCCCGATGTTTTTTGCCGAGTGCATTGTTAGACCTAACGGCAGATGTGCTCACACAGACAAGCTATGTATCCGATGTCGCCATCTCAGTCAATGATTGCAAGAGTGCCATCTGTCGTTAAGAAAGATAGACTGTGAAAAGCAGCTCAAAAATGGTACGAGGTACGAACTCGATAGTCTAGTAGGTTGGTTGCATAATTTGTCGAATTGAGAATTTAGCGGGCACCGATCCAAGTCCGGTCTATTATCCACGAAGTGAGCGTTACACCCCTAGTCTTTAGGCAATGTGCTGACTCCAGGGCATTGGTACGCGGCTCAATTCATCCAAGGATGCTTTATGCACCAAGAACTTGTGAGTAGAGGTGAAGAATTGCCATCAATGACTCCGCATTAATTGCCCCAATCCTATATATGGTCAAAAGTTTGGCCAACTCCGTTCAGATGACACAGATAACGCGCAAGTTGGGGCCAAGAACCAACGCGACAATTACGGCTCACCGTCGCCCGAACCGCTCGGTCTTGAATGAAGCAAGGTTTGGCTCATCTTGCTCTAGTGAGACAACCGAATGTAGATCGCTTCCAGCATCGTAAGTGCACAGAGACGCAGACTTTTCGAGCGATGTGAGAGGACCTCTGAGCACGTGGAAATGCAATTCGAAGATACACTTGATACGCCGTGTTGAGGATATGGGCCAAAATGAGATTGGCGACAGCTCGTGTAACTGTTGGTGATTGCGCGACACCGAAGGGTCGGTGCGACGTACTGCTGATACCAGTGCCATCTTCATGCCATGAACATTGTCCGTGCTCATTTACGAAGATGGACAGGTGCCGTAAGGCGCGACCGATAGACATTGCGCTACAGGTCCCATTCTAAGTGATATAACGTCATGGAATCAGTCGATAAATGTAGCAAAAATATGCAAATTAGTACCGCTATCGGGAAGGCCAGTCCTCCTGAGCCTGAAAGACCTATCGTTGAACATCACTCGTAAAAGTAGATTTTATGAACGACCTTGTCTTACACATCGCTAAAACTGATACCGGATTCATTTTTCCCACAAGTTCTATGAACTAAAGCCGGAAGAGTATGTGTCTTCAAGTAGCATATTCTGGACTAAATCCATTGCATCATCCAAAGCGTTTACCGATCAACTTCTACACATCCAAGAGATGAGATTGCTAATCAATTTGCGCCTGGGTCTTATGATAGCGAGACTATGAAAGTTCGTGTGTCGTTTTCCTCCTGTAGACTAGATGCTTCATGAATCCGACCGTTTTACTGGTTAAAGCAAACGACTCGTTTGCAAATATAGACTGTAGTGTTGCGCAGCCTCTGTTAAGAGCTGCTACCAAGTAAAGGCGCTTAGTTACTGCAACAAATACGTGATCCATGTAACGATGGTATCATTCCAGGGCGGCTATCTTTACAAGGAATTTGGTAAGTGCTAATTTTGCTAAGAATATACCCGCGTATTCCGGTGAGACAACCAAAAAGGCTGCTATCGTGCTGTACCGAGGAAGAGGAGTCCCTATTCAAAGGTGAATTCCAGCAACGGAAGCACGGTGTTATATTGGGATCTCCATTCGGTCCGTTATTGAAGATTTGCCTCGTAGTAAAGTCAATTAGTACAGAACCTGCTGGCAGACATAATGACCTTTGAATGCTGTTACCGATTTACGAAGGAGATATTTATTGCCTTAGCAGATAAGCACACGATCTTGGATGAAGGACATGATTGTTTCAATCTGGTTCACACAGTGCTGTGTATGTGACAAAACGATGGCCGTTCTCGAAATGACCTAAGCGCCAATCTGCAGCGAGTTTCGTGCTTCCGTTCACCTCGAGCTGACATTAGCTGGCCGTGTGCTGTTGCTTGGGTGGAGTTGTGCGAACCACAGCTCGTTATCCCTAGTTACTTGGTGGGAGAGGTCCTGTGGCTGGGACGATGAGGCTCAAAGGCAACTTGATAAAAACCAATGGGAGCTACAGTAGACAGATTTCGAGTCAACGTCGAGTAGTCCTACAGCAGGCAGAACAATTTGTGGTGACATCAAAATCTAAGTGTCCAGTCGTCGGCCCATAACCTAGAGGTGATGTTGCGGCGCGGGATCGAATCCGCGTAGGGGTGGGCGTTCTCGCGGTATACACAATCCGCTTGCGACTGGTGGTGGTCACACGGCAGCAAAGCGATGTTACGGCTTAGAGATGACACATTATTATTATTATTATTAGTAGTATCATTATTAGTAAAGTGTCCAGTAGCTTATACGCAGTAAAAAGTTGAGGCCCCGTGCAATTGCGATGGCCACTCATTGAGTAGCTCCGTTATCGTGTCTCGTGTCGAATGTCTAGGTGTACTAGCTCCCATGCGCTGCCTATCCGCAGTTCTTGGGTCAGCCGATAATTGCCGCATATGGGGCCATATTAAACTTCACCCATACTTGGCCGCACCAATTCTTTGCCGTCCATCTGGCCTGAGAGATTATGGTCAACTTGAGGTGGGTCGCAGCGGAGTCGGTTCTGGTTGGCGGCAACCGGTTTCGGATTTGCCTGTCACTGCGGCCAGCCACAGGACGCCTCCGCCTACTGAAAGACCATGGGTGGCTGGCGCTTCAGCACCCACAGCGCCAACCACACACCCCATATCCAGTGTAAACCCGAAGGAATAAGACCGGGAGGCATGCGTATGAGAGTCACGTTTCATCAACCGAGCCGGCCCACACTGCTTCACAGGCAACCACAAGCAAGCTGTATTTCGGAAATCAATCGCACACAAGGCGGTGGCCAGACCGTAGTCCGCTCCACACCGAGTGCATGGAACCACTCTTCGAGCCTAGCATGGCCACAAGGATCGTGCACCGCGTCACCTCCAGCAACGACCGACTGTCTTCTGGAGCCAGTATGTACGAGGTAGTGGGTAATAGACAGGTAGGCACCTTGTTAATATGCACATCAAGCACAGCCACACCGAGGATATCAGGCAACAGGCATTCGCTTGAAATGACAAGATGAAATAAAGTAAATCCAATTATGCATACAGATAAGGTGGCAGAACTCTTCGCTAAATTACCATATGAAGTAAACTGGTTAGCAACGAATCCGTGATAAGTAAGAAATGTCCACAAGTTACTTAAAATGCTACAAACGCAACAAAGTTACCGAGAATAAGTGCAATTAGCGTAGGCAACGTGGCCAGTTAATAGAACATTATTCAGGTAGGCAGAACAAATCAAATAAAGTGGAATGAAATATATCCAGCTTAAAAAGACCTAGTTTAAGTGTAAGTTAATTTAGCCTCACTGAGGTGAAGAAGCATCAAGAATGCAACATCAGCCTTAGCATGGGGAGTTGGTTCTAGCCCACTAGTTATCCGCAACATGCGCTTGCCGAATTGGCCGGTAGTTAGTACATCCCACGTGACGTCAGTCTGGGTGCGTTGGCACACACTCATGGTTCACTTGCAGCTCTTAGAGCCAATTCCCACTGTTTTGCCCCACACTAACAAGCTACAGCTTATGCACTCTAGGCTGAGCTAATTCTATGCTCCGAATCATGTATTCCTGGTCAGCTCGCGTCAACGATGATCGAATAGCCTCCTGGATACCTACTCTGTATTGGTCACGTTCGCCCAAACGGCCATCTACCATCCCAATCAGGTCAAAAGCAACCTGGTTAACAGCCACGATAAGGATTCACCGCAGCAGGCAATCTCCAGAAAGGTAAACAATCGATAACAGTAGAGGATAGCATAATAATGAGGAGTATAGAGAAACGGAGACTGGTGACAAAGAGTAAACGAGGTAAAAAAGGGTGGATCATGTATATAAGAAAAGTAATCACCCGATTGCATACTTTATCGTAGGTGATCCGATGAGAAACTACCAACAGTGCTAAGCTTTCACCAGTGACAGAACAGATAACCGACCAGTTGCTTCCTGAAGTAGAAGGTGCATGCCCCAACAAAAGCATTTACTGACCAAGGGAGAGACCGCGTCGTTCACAGTCAAATAGGCTACGATTACATAGTTCAACAGAACTGACTTAGAGGGTTCCGTGAAACCATAGATTGCCAGATGTCGGTTAAAAGTTTTCGTTGGCTGGCTACAATGTGAAAGTGCTGTGATTGGTTGGATCTAACACAAAATTACTCTCAATGACTGGCACCTTACCAATGACCTTCAAGCTGCGTTAGTGTGATCTTTTGTTAATGCTACCGGTATGGAAGCGGGCATGAATGACTTCCTTGGCGAACAGCAACAAGGTTATTTCATTCGCAGTGCAATTGTGTATGCAACATTGCGGGGGTGTATATCAATATCATGGTATTAAGAAGCACAGAAAGCACGCTCAAGGAAAGAACACCTCCCGATCAAATAGACAGTAACGAACAAGTAAGAAAGGCGAATAGTTACTTCCCTACATCGACGAATATCGCTTGAGCCTGATCGCAACGACAGTGAGAGTAAGATCACAAAACATTGACAGTGAAAACAACATAGTCATTTGTAGACTGGACTGCTACACATAGACAACTCACCCTTGGAAAACGCATCGTCAAGGCAAACCAGAAATGCGCATCGTACAGTTGGAGAAACCTCGGAGTTGAAGCAAATAGTCTGGAAGACAAGAGACAGAAGGGGGAAACAAGTGATGCCCAAAATGTCGAACCAAAACGGTAAATTCGCGGACTAATGAGAAAGAGTTCGGCTCAGAGAGGCAACTAGGTGTCTGAGCATAGACGACGGGCAGTGGATTCAGCTGCCACGAAACACATTCTCCAGATAAAAGCGGTGAGCATTTGAGGGGTAATGAGGCAAAAAGCAAACCAGAAAATAAGGAAAGTGTGCGTGACGAATCGAATGTGAAAGCTAGATGCCAGTTTAGTCAAGTCGTTGAGAAAACTTCCTTAAGCTTCTGTGTTACGTCACTGGCGAAACCCCTTGAGGTTTCATCTAACTAGACGCGGAACCGTGAGACAATGTATGACGAAGTAAAGAGTAAAGTGTACGGATAACGGGCTCAGCGTGGAAAAATAGGAGCTGGATCAGGAAACGAACCAGTAGATTTTAAAAGTTTCTTCAATCAACGCACAGAGTGAGGACAGTGCACCGCAAGTATCGAAGCGTCATCATCACCGTCATTACGTAATGGATGAAGGTGAGGAACACACTTCAACTATTATGCCACAATACCAGTGCCTAATGGTGATCGGTCTCCCAATGCCTCCAACACAAAGCATGTTTGTGAAACATGCGACAACAGCGCACGCATGTAAATCCCGAACACGATCGATAAGCCAACATATTCGATGCGCCCAACCATGAATGAGACATGGAAAAGCCACAAGGGGCCTTACTCGCAGACGTAGTAGCTTCAGCGATACACGTTAGACGAATGAACCTATACACCATCTAGCATGACTGTTCAGTCATAATAGAGGCAGTGGCATACCGATGCGGCCATATAGGGGTACTCTGCTCAGATGAAACGTGAACTAGTTTTCATTAGTTTACGCAAAAGCACTCATACAAGAAATGGGTCAGGCCCTAGGAGAGGTAGGCCGTACATGTACTCCATGTTGGTCAACTGCTAACACCAGTATAAGTCGAGAGTCACTTTGATGACGAAGTACTGGGTAACTCTGGAGCATCGCACTTGTGGTGGCGAATTGAGAAACCAGGTTTACACTTACCCTTGCCCAGGGTGAGGTAAAAATTGAAAGTGGCTCTCTCGACACAAGTCGGTACAATGAAATGATTCAGATTCTCTATGCATAACCGTCGAGTAAAAGCGAGCTTACTCGTCGCTGCAGAAGGAGTACGCATACGGTTAATAAACCCTGAGTTGTGCATTCAGGCGGAAATGTCACAGTTATGACAACTGCTGTGGCCGACCATCAGACGGGAAGGAAGGGAATGCACTCCGCAAATCCATGTGACTTCAATGATTTGTTGGGATGAATGGCATGAAGATCACAAATCAAATTATCTAATCAACTGGTTGCATGTTATGCTGATGATTACAACCAATCTTATTTTGAGGAAGAATAATTCGAAAACCATTGTTTCCTTGTAACTTCGTGCTTTTGGTTCGTTTTTTGAGCTTGACGAACCATATCATGATGTATCGTCTGTAAGTATGACACTGTGTGTTCAATACAGTTTCAAAGAGAGCAGAAGCCAGCCTGGCTTTCCTCGATTCGACTATCAGGTGAATTAGTGTGCCGCAACAGCCTGACTAATTACAATGGCTCCATGGCCTATCGGTTTTCCAGTAATGTTCCCATACTTTATTTAAGGATGGGGATTGTAATTTGAAAGCGCCGGTCTGAGTGTTCATCGTTAGTGCCTCATACAGCAAACAAAGAAGTGGCTAAATTGGGCACGAATGATGTTCCAGTAAATTTCAGAGTGTGTAGTCACCCAGAACAGGCCTCCGATGGGTGAGTTGTGGTAACATTTAAGTACGAACAGAGAGGACGCGTGGAGATTGGTGAAAAAGTGAAGTCGAGGAACAATCCAGTACAAGTTATGTGGATGAGAAAATATGAAGAAATGCGTCCGATGAAGGGACTATGCAACTGGAACAGACCGAGATGCAAAGGAACTTACCTTCAAAAACGAGAAAAGACGATCTGGGACACTTGATTTGAAACGTTGAATCCATTTTACGAGTTGTCGAGCGCCATGGATCAATGTATCATCGTGAGCTAGGTGTTGAATTGGAGCGAATGTAGTGTGGGACGCATCGGAAGAAAATAAGATACAACTAACAAGAAAGCATACTAAATTGGAAAATAACAGGGAAGTAAAGAGTGGTCGATCGACTAAAGGACTAAGTGCCTGCCTTATACTTCAGAAGTCCACAGTTCGAATCCGCGTAGGTGCGGGCGGCTTGGCGGTATACTCAGCTCAAGTGCGACCAGTGGTGGTCATGTGGCAGCAAGGCGCCGCTACGGCATGCCAACGTACTGCCAAAGCTCTCTAAAGGGCAGCAAATTACATGTGAAAACCTGAACATGTAGGAGTCATGACCAGCTGATGCAATAATGTCAAAATGGACTGGTCTAAGCATGAAATCGAGGCGCTCGAACTCAAACAGGGAATGTGAGGTGGGGGCAGCTGGATGGGAAAAAGATATGGCGGACTACCAAGACGATTCTTAGCGCCTCTCCTTTGGGTACACTGGCGAAAATTGAGGTCACATCGAAGCATACCCTCAACTAATCTGGCGCAATGGTGGGACATGCTATCTTTAAGAAGTCGTAAGAGTTCCGCAACTAAATGTAGTTATGTGCAACCGGTTCCCGTGGCTGAGCTGTACACTATCGGGCGCGTCCCCAGGTTGCGGATTGGGGAATGCCCTCCTTGTGGAGGTAACTGCAAATAAGTCTCGTGTCTTACAGGCGAGATGAATAGGCAGCCGCGAAGAATCAGCGGCCGCGTCTCAGAATGTGGGGTTCTGGGCTGGTCACCTGGTTCCCCATCAAATAGTACAACAGCTCGTAAGGCGCTGCGTCAAAGCCAAGGTAACCGGCTTTAGGGTCACTGACCACTCACTTCCGTAACCAGAGGTGAGTATCTAACGGAGGGCGAATGAACAACCTTGTTGGCCATCGGCTTCTCTGTGGACCGCTACCGAACATAAAGAAGACGTATGAGCTAGCCGGCTGTCAACGGTCTTCGTTAATCGCCCCGCTGCTCGGGGTGGGGTCCCTTAAGTTGACCCTCTTCCTTGGCCTAGGCAACGAGGAAGATCGCTGCACACACAACGTAGTAATCTACTAAACCTTCCAAACCCTTCCAATGAAAACCTGTTTGTCCCCTTTTTGGTGTTGTTAACTATGTGTTGTGACACTGCCAATTGTAGATTGTTCAAGTGCTGCAACCGGTCACGGAGTAAGCTCTATTCGAAAACTGTACGGTAAGGTACAACCAAACGTCTGCGATGGTTTCTTCCTATAGAGATATGCGTCCATAAGGAATGAAGTATCCAACGAACTCGTCGTGACAGTTGGGTGGTTCGAAGCTATCCCGCTCCAGCGAAGTGTTCGGCGATAGTGTTCCAGAACGCGGTGAGTTTTCGCCTGGCAAGCGTTCTCCTTATAAAAAGCCACAAATTCCCGTTTAACAGCACTGCGACGTGGCAGATGTGACTCGCCACTAAGTAAACTTGTTGCTTCTTTCTTCATTCTGGTGGAGCATTGTATTCCAGCCGCAGCTAGCGGAAGTTGCAAACAGGATTTGACTGTGGCAACCGACCAAACGAAAGCCGTATGAACTAAGCATTCAGTCACCGGCTACTATTAGGCGCGATTCATTGGCTTCGTTTCGCGGCTTTGCAGGTAGACTATCTAGCTAAAAGATCAGAGTGGCGTCCTATAAGACAACTCCCTACATAGCCTTAGGTAAATTGGTATTATCACCCTCGACAAATCCATGGATTGCTCTGTGCTGCGTTCGGCTTTATTTTTATGATAACTGTATCTTCCACTGCTTTCGGCTGTTTCTGATGACTCAATGTGTATCCGTATAGTGTTGCATATATATATATATATATATATATATATATATATAATTACTAGTAAACTGTAAAATTATGGACAACAGTGCATGATTTTGTATGCCCCAAGCAGATTCTTAGAGAACATCAAACACCGGTTGGTAGAAGGTAACACGACCCGCCGACGCCCTCAGTAGAAATTGGCCAACAAAGAGGACAGGTCACGTAGTGGCATCAACGGGCATTCGTCACGATGCCGGTCTGCTGCCACCCACAACATCTGGAATTTGGCCAATAAAGAGATAACTTGATCGATGCATGAAGCTTGTACAATAATATTAGTCGGCCAAATACGCATAATACCGTCGATAGTAATGTTCTAATATAAGTGAACAAGGCAAAGTATATAACAGAACTGTTCAAACATTTTAAATAGTCGTCCGTTCGAAACAAGAACATGAAGCGTGTAAGCGCAGTGGCGTATCGCAATCTCGAAATTAGAGGTCCGAAGCACTGTTGAGAAGCAAATGAAAATGGTGCACAGTGGATGTCGGAAGAACCAGAGCGCCCGCATATCATATGGGACTGAATAATTTGAAGGTGAACCCTATTCGGATATAAGAATCAGGACATTGGTGCAAGTGGGCACGTTGAGCACACATTAAAAAAAGCGAAACAAGGTATCTTCGAGATGCGTCAACCGTCTGATCTTCGGAGCACTACTGAAGTTGGATGGCACCATTAGCGGTGAATATGAAGAACAATTCATCAAAGCAACATATAAGGATGAATAAGGTGTGTCGTATTTTTAAAACAGTTAGTCCCCTTCAGTAGTTTGAACAACGAAATGAGAAGACGAATACTGGCAGATGCTAGCATTTCGTATTATCTCGTCAGTACCAATACAATAACAGGGAAATTCTTTTATATGTCTTACAGGGCACAGGCAAACCAATCAAATTTATTGTTGTGGTCATTGTTATCAGATTACGTCCACGGCAACCGCAGGTTGACAACTAATTGCTTTTGGACACACAAAGCTGGTCTAATTCGGCTTATCGCGACGACCTCGGCAAATCGTAAAAGGCGTGCATTAGTATGACGTAACAAGATCCGGAAAGCTGATAAGGGATTGACCTGGTGACGAGTCGCCAAGATGTGCCTGCCTATGGAGGACGCTGGCGGCTTACGCGAACACGTATCATCGGAGGTGGATTGGGTAACTTCACGCTGAACCCAGTTTGGTAGGTGTTCCTTCACTCGGGAATATAAAACCCGTTCGGTCCTGCCGATGTAACTGATACCGCAGTCACACACGAATTGGTAGACACAATGGGATTTGGCGCCGACGGGTTCATCTTCCCTTACTGAAGGTAACGGCAACTTTCGGGTTCTGTTGATAATTACCGCCTCCGCAGCACAGTATGTACGCTGAATGGCCGAGACAATCCGTTTGGTTATTCTTTTCGTTGCAGTGTCACCCTTGAATGGGAGCTCAATGTACACCTTCTTCTTGTAATCTGATAACAATGATCACAACAATAAATTTGATTGGTGTGCCTGTGCCCTGTAAGACATATAAAAGAATTTCCCAGTTATTGTATTGGTACTGACGAGATAATACGAAATGTTAGCATCTGCCAGTATTCGTCTTCTCATTTCGTTGTCGTATTTTTGTTCGTCGCAATCAGCCGACAATTCAGATAAGTCAACTAGCTATCCGGAAAAGCACCAGACGGCCGTTTCGCCCTATTGGGGCTCATCAGTGGTGCGCATCCTTCGGTCCTCTGTGGAGGATCGAACCCATGACTGCTAGTGGCTCTTGCCAACTAGCCCGCAGCTTATGCAACCGCGCCATGGAGGACGGTATCCGACCATCACGAATTGTTAGCTAAATGCGATATAGCCCGACCCATCCTCCACTGCCATGCAGGCACCTGCCAGGCAGATGACAGCGGTTGGCCTTCAGGTGTCAGGATTTCACGGTTACGGCAGCTATGAATCGACATAGCATTTTGTGGAGTCCGTAAGGGCGAATTTGTGTTACTTATGAGTGGAAGGATGGGTGGGGCTATATCGCATTTAGCTAACAATTCGTGATGGTCGGATACCGTCCTCCATGGCGCAGTTGCATAAGCTGCGGACTAGTTGGCAAGAGCCACTAGCAGTCATGGGTTCGATCCTCCACAGAGGACCGAAGGATGCGCACCACTGATGAGCCCCAATAGGGCGAAACGGCCGTCTGGTGCTTTTCCGGATAGCTAGTTGACTTATCGGAATTGTCGGCTGATTGCGACGAACAAAAATACTCACCAAAATCCTTCCACTCATAAGGTGTGTCGTGTTTGGTGAACTTCATGTAGCCCATCCAGAGCTTGTCGAAAGGGCTCTTGTTTGGTTGGCCGGAGGTAGGACAACACAAGGTCTGAGGGAGCGGGCGAAATGCGTTACAGAAGCGAAGTCGGTCCCTAACACTCACCAAACTTAAGCTTATGCGATCAGTCTTGTGTTTGCTTGGAGACCTGGTAACACATGGCTCACCACATGCACTAAGGGCGCGTCTGCTTTCGTCTCCCGGATATCCACAGTATCTGTGTAGATGTATGCTACAAGTGGCGGTTGAAGTAGCAGACAAAGTCTAGAACGAATGCTGCCGGCTCCGACAGCTACTAAGGTAAAAGCTGTCGAGATCCAAAGAGTTCCATCTACATACGGACAAATCACGCGGTACCAAGGTAGTAAACAGCTGGGCCACTGGCGAAGTCGGGCGCACCCGGTTTTGCAACAAAACAATACAATACAACTGGGGCAGCAATGTTTATGCATAGGAGCACGGAGAACTCACACTCGTGCTCAAGATACTCAACGATAAAACCGACGGCTGCGGTGCCCACACGATCGACGACTGCTTTTTGACTGGCGCCATGGTTTGACAGTTCGCCCAAACAAGTTAACCCAGCGAAGCGAACCTCTTGACCCGCTTTTCTCCCTTCGGATCCGGAAATCAGAGCATGAACCTAAAACAACAGATGTAAAACCATGGGTTAAAAGGGTAGAAATGATCAGTTTTTAAGTGGTTGACACAAGACGGATGATCTGCTCCTTTCGGATAGGAAGATGGTGTTTTGAAAAAAAGAGGACAGCAGCCCACAGCACTCAGTACAGTGCCGTCAAATGTATGTGTGAGGAGACTGGCTAGAAGCACAGTGCATTCGAAAAATCAAGTAGAAGAGAAACTGGAGTCAACAATTATGGAGCAACTATTGAGAGCACTCAACCTGTGAATATACTTGAGTGAAAGCGGATCCATGGTACGCTGTGCATCGGAAAAGATCGTCGTCGCAAGCACAAAATGTACGTTGGCGAGCTGAAGATTGCGATCGAAAATGACGAAGTGTTGCAGGAAAAAAACCTGGAAATCTGACAAAAAGGGGCACTGAAAATGTGCATTGGTGAGTATCATCACTGGTCAGCCATTATGTCACCTCGTCCACCGCTAATCTAAGGGTTAATACAACCAGGCGCGGGTAAATCAGCCCCAGTTAGTGGGTATGTGAAGGACATGGCGAAGTCAGTGTGACTAGTCCAAGCTCAACGAGCACCGCAAAGAGGCGCCGTCAATTAACCCTCTGGCCGTCACGATAAGATTGGGATTCGACGTCTCATGATGATAATGTGCGTCTCCACGTTCCCACGGGTTATGCCAGGTAAAATTCTCCAAGGGTCCTCAGAGCCTCTCAGATGAGACAGACAGATGGTCAAAGGTCGGGCAAACTCAAGTACTACATCCGATTCACTAGGAGTTGGAAAGAAATTGATGGTAGTGGGAGATAACAGTAGGGAAGTCATAAGTTTAGCCCGACTGGCGTAGAGCACGATTGTCAATGGTTGGCCGAACGTGTGAGTGTACCTGTTACATTCATTTGCCACTCTCAAAACACTCATTTTGTGGAACTGCACTTTTCACCTAACTGCACGGTAAAACTTAACCACACGCCACGTGATATACAGGCCACGTCAAAAGAGCATTTCGACCTCTGTACATTACCACGCCAGCGTCGAAGCATGTGCCAAGTGGGAATTTACTTTAGCTCGCATTCACTGAGAATGGCCGTAGTATCAAGACACATCACTAGAACGACCGAAAAACGGAAGTGTGCGTTTCGTGCTCAGGTCTCGACGTATCCAGTCGCAACGCAACGCAATCTTAATGGAGCTCACAGCCATCATACAAGCACACGCGCTAAGGCTCTCATTTGGGTATCATTAGTATGTGTACAATATTATTGTTATACTAGTGACTACCCTTCTGATATTGTAACTAGTCACGACTTAAGCAGCACTAATATACCACCACTGCGCATTTAACTGATATCAATCACCTCAAGTAGCGTAGCCTATGGGCAATATAATGTAAAGCCGTTAAAACACTTAACGTTGACAGCGGTCTCGGAAGGAGCTGTCAATAAGAGCGTCCCCATCTGTTAGAAATATAGGGAAAATTAAGGCTAGGCACAATGGTGCAAGAGGATGTGGGTGAGTAAGGCGCGAGTTGGTCACGTGATCAAGTGCGGTAGACCTCTAAGGTGGTAGTCTTCGGTTAGGCAGCAACATGCTCCCATCTAAGACAGATTGATCTAAATCAAAAATATAACACAACCGCCGAAGACAGTTTATTTTGATGAACGTTGTCATGCGGTGCTGGAGTAAGCATCAACAAGACACAGTAGTTTGTACTCATGGTTCGATGACATATAATTGTAAGCGGTTGTAAGCAGGCTAGGCAACTACCAGAGCATCCAAACCCACCTAGGAGAGGTGGTTTGAATCTGTTTAAAACGCTATACTACGGATACCCCACCAGAGCGAGATCATTTCTGAAGCTGGACAGAGAACTACTTTGAAACCAAGAAGGAGAGCAAGACGTTGATTGTCATAAAAATCCTCAAATCGCCCAATGTTCCCACTGACAATAGGAGTGCCATAATGCGTCTGTTGTTGGGGACTCCGGCTCAGCCAACTCCACAAGCCAAAAGAGGAAGTGGCTGAAAACATGCATTGATGATGCCTAGAGACACCGCATTTCATACCAGTAAAATGGCTCTGATTCTATTGTTGGGCGTAAGAACTCACCGAATGTTTCCAAACTATGACTAATTACTTGAACCTGTATTCCCTCTCATTGGTTGGATCAGACAATTGTGATCGCCGGCGATTCCTACCGCAAAGTACTCTAGTTGGCGATTTCCGGTTAACTAACTCAAGTCGCGGTTCATCCGAAGTTGTATTGAAGGTACACCTATGTAATGAATTTCAGCGATTTCTATCCCCGGCCTACTTCGATAAAACTCAAACGTGACATGTACGGATAACGTCTCATTATGTCGACAGTCACTAACTAGGCAGAATATAAACCACATAAAACATGACAACAAAAGTCCGGTCCTTATAAAGATTATCGACGACATTAAATACGCCTCTTCTTGATTGGCTGTTCTTTAATGTACTCAATGGGAACAGATTGATTTCGATTGGCTGCAAGAATGCTGTTCCGGGCTTGGCAAAAAATAATTGAAAATTCAACAGAAATGATGCGACCCATTGAGAACCAAGGACAGTTGATACGATTCCTATCAGAAGACCAGTTCGACCGCATGTTCGCGGCCGTATCCGCCTCCCGAGTCGCCTATCAAGGTGGTTGTCGATAGTCAAGGACCTCTGCGGCAGCAGAGAAACCACGAGTGGGAGATGCTGTACCAAACACAACGTCAACCATGAACACATTAAGTTTAAATACCTCTTTGTATTTTGCAAAGAGTTGTTATATTATGTTCCTTGGTGCAGTTCGCAGATAAGGTTACGTTTAGGTCATACAGAATATACTGAGGCCCGGTCAATGTGATGATAGACTCATTTCCACCGTGATCACAATACATTTGAGAAACCCCTGCTCTACCAAACTTTATGCGATATCCTGAGCTGTTAGTCTCAGCACCATTAGTTCACCAAACAGGCTTCGACGGCTGGGCCACATGTTGTGCATGCCAGCTCACCGACTCCCGCGACGTTGGTTGTTTGCGCGTCAAAGGTGTGAATAGAAGAAGAAGAGAGCTGGCCAAGCCACGACTTGATCGAAAGGAATGAAGGCCCTCCCTTCGATGTTGGCCTCGGTTGGAGCCTCTCGGTTTTCCGGTTGGGGCACAAAAGACGATGAACGCGGTTGGCTGGATACACTTGTTGACCGGGCTAGAAGCGGAGCTCAGTGTCGTTTGTGTTGTGAATTTCTTTGTCCCTCCACCACCAACCACCATCTCATTCCTGAAGCCTAATATAACCTTTTGCGGCACAACAGACAGGTGCTGGCCCACCAGAACGATGTCCATCCGGTACTGGTGGCTCAGTTGGCTCGCCTGTGTTGCGTCTCCATAGTACTATTACTTATTATGCACTGTGGCACAGTGGCTGAAGTGTCCTCACCTCTAACTAACGTGTATAATGAATGAATGAGCTCATTCGTCTTTTAGACAACAGAACTCAAGCTGGGAACATTTTGGAGAAAGACTGTGCCTACCTCAGAATTGATCCCAAAAGCTTACTAGTATCATCAAACAGCACATCTATACTGCCTGAATATTGTCTTTGAATTATTTTTTGGTATGAAGGAGAAAAAGGGTGCGAAACCTTAGCTTCTGTAAGCATAATCTCTCCAGATTTCAAAAAAATTAAGTATGTGTATTGATTAGAGGGTCATTTAGAAGTGCATATTGTGTGATTAGAACGCGACGCGCAATCTCAACATTGACCGCGATTCCAACTGAAGTGCGCTTTGGTCAATGCGATCACGGGGACCGCAGCTGAGGAAGATGAAAATAAGGTGTTGCCCGCCAGAAAACACTGCACACCACGACGAGTTTCAATTTCAGCAAGTAGAGAAAATAGGCATCGAATTAGGGGTGTTAACCGAAATCTCTACCCGTGGTGCTGAAGGAACATGATCATGCGGCATACGGGTGGGAGCCATGAAAGATTGAGAGCCGGACAACACCATCAGCATGTCTACCGCTGATGTAAATGTTGGGGGAGACGTACGTCCCAAACAGCGTACCCTTGGAGGTGGCAGGGCCGCTGCTCGTTCAACGGTGGGAACACTTTTTGACCCCAGCGTCGTGAGTAGCATCGTGCACTCTGCTCATTCCAGCAGCGTATTTTGTAGCCAGGAATCAATGCGATGGTATCGCGCGTGCTAGGTAGACGACCAGTCAATACTTACAACGAACATAAGCTGTATATGACAGTGCAAGTAGACAGGAATATTGGGGATGTGTCAGTCGATCGACCAGATCCTAGGTGTATCGTGAGTATCAAGGTTACAATTAGCACATCTTTTCGACGCTTTGCTGCAACGCAAACAGTAGCAGTCGCGTGAGGGCGAAAGAGATTGCAACTGTCCCGCGGGTTCGCTAGTCAGGCTTGTTAGATAGACACGTTGTCATTTTGTCCACGGAGTGGAAGCCCAGTCTACAACAAAATATGTTTCCAATATTTAGGTAAAAGTGAGATTGCAAACAGATGAACCGGAATACAGAGTGGTGTGTATGCTAATAAATGGGTTCGTGTAAACAAAGTGTATTGCGTCCAAGATATGAGAGACAAAGAAACTGACCAACTTGCAAACTTCGCTAATTGAATTCGCCTCGGAACAATGTTTCACAATTGTGCTCAGGACTTTGATTGTGGCGTTCCGGACTGAGTCGAGTAAAGCCAGCAAATGGGAAGCGATTGGTGTCGCTAATTCGACTGCACAGTGGTCAAGACCGAACGAGACCTGGTGAAGCACTGCGTCAACTTCTAAAGAGCAGAAAAAAGAAGAGGAGCAAAGGAGCACGGTGAATCCAAAAACCAGGAAAATACAACGGTGCTAAAAAGGAAAAGTGAAATATGCCCAGTGATGGAAGTCGTTTGTGTAGGGGTGATGGTGGTAGTAAAATGTTCCATCGAGTACCATGACGGCGGATCGATTGGGCGAGTTGAGAGAAGATGAAAACAACAGCCTAAAGGCCAATTGATCCCTGCCAACGCAACTTGACGGTAATCACACAAACTGTATGCTGAGGTTGATGTTGTATTCATGATGCCCCTTCACCGCAGTTGGGCAGAACCAATTTACACTTAAACTAGGTCTTTTTAGACTAGATAAATTTTATTCCACCTTATCTGGTTTGTTCTGCCTACCGAAATAATCTTCTATTAACTTGCACACGTTGCTTACGCTAATTGTGGTTATCTTCGTCAAGTTTGTCGCGTTTGCGGCATTTTTTGAATAACTTGTGGGCATTTTGTATTTATCGCGGATTCGTTGCTAACCAGCTTACTTCATATGCTAGTTTAGCGAAGAGTTAAGTCTGCACAGCCGTGTGCTTTGACATATATTTTATATTATAATGCTATTTCGAGTTTCCTCCAAGATTGGTCTGGATCGCCTCTTACGCTGACCGTTGGTGGGGATAAGCTAGAAGTCGTTCAGAAATTCAACTACTTGGGAAGTTGTACCATTGCCCGTGGGATCGAAGATAAGATCACGAACCGTATAGCGAAAGCTCGAGGTGCTTTTGCTAACCTTCGCCACTTATGGCGCCGGCGCGACATTACTCTTGCCCTGAAGGGTAGAGTGTACAATGTAGCGGTACGTTCGACCCTACTGTACGGTTGTGAAACCTGGCCCCTTAAAGCAATGGACCTGGAGTAGCTAGTTACCTTCGACCACCGGTGCCGTCGCATCTTAGCTCACATCTGGTGGGAACACCGAGTTACCAGCGATCGTGTTCGACGCCTTGTTTACGGCACAGAAAAAGGGAATGAACCGATCAGCACCGTTATTTCAAGTACCATGCTCCGATGGCTCGGCCAAGTGTTACGCATGCCAGCCCACCGACTCCCGCGACGTGCGTTGTTTGCTCACCGCGGGTGTGGATGGAAGAAGAGAAGAGGTGGCCAAGCGATAACTTGCTCGAGAGGAATGAATGTCCTCACTTCGGAGCTGGCCTCGGTTGGAGCGTCTCGGTTCCCTGGTTAGGGTCCGAAAGACGATGAACAAGTTTGGCTGGATACACTTGCTGATATGGCTAGGAGCCGGCTTCAGTGGCGTTCGTGCTGTGAGTTTCTTTGTTACACCCCATCCCTCTTAGCCTCCCTCTCCAACCACGATCTCACTAGTTAGCCTTATATAATTTCATAGTATTTTTTTGATGAATTGTAGCCGGCTGGTAGCTTATCAGAACGATGCCCATCCGTTACCGGTAGCTCAGCCAGCTTGCACCACTTGCATTTTTTCCTCATTTTTGCTATCTATTGCGACACAGTAGCTGAGGTGTTTCCCACCTCTAGCTAAAGTGTATGATGATGATGACGATGATGCTATTTCGAGTGATTGGCTGCTGTCTGACATCCCCGGTATGGCTGCGCTTGATGTGCATGTTGACAAGGTGCCTGCCTGTCTATTACCCACTACCTCGTACATACTGGCTCCAGAAGACAGTCGGTCGTTGCTGGAGGTGACGCGGTGCACGATCCTTGTGGCTATGCTAGGCTCGAAGAGTGGTTCCATGCACTCGGTGTGGAGCGGACCACGGTTCGGCCACCGCCTTGTGTGCGATTGATTCCCAAAATACAGCGTGCTTGCGTTTGCTTGTGAAAGAGTGTGGGCCAGCTCCGTTGATGAAACGTGGCTCCTATGCACATGCCTTCCGGCCTTATTCCTTCGGGTTTACACTGGATGTGAGGTGTGCGGTTGAAGCTGTGGGTGGTGAAGCGCCAGCCACCCATGGTCTTTCAGTAGGCGGAGGCGTCCTGTGGCTGACCGCAGTGACAGGCAAATCCGAAACCGGATGCCGCCAATCATAGATAGTATTTAATGGATTTGGGTTAACATGAATTAAGCTCCAGCGCCGAGTAAGTAAACAATTACAGGAAGAAATACGCCACAATTATGAGTGGTTCCAATTCATGCGAGGTATAACAAGATTTTGTTGTTCATTGAATAAAAGATCTTGGTCCGGACCCGGATTGACTCGATGGACGGTGCTCAGCAAATGCCATGTGATTACCGAGGCAGCTAGATTTTGCAATTCACTCAATTCCGCCATTATCGATCCCATCCGACTGCGTAACCACTTGAGGATGCGCTCATTGATCCAGAGACCTAAACTTCGGTCAGCGCGCCCGATATAGCTGTCTGTGGAGTTACAGGTGAATTAATATAAGCAATGGGACATAGGTTACTTCGTTATCGGTATTTTGATGGTACACATAAGTTGAGGTCTTGTTGACGTGTTCAACTGTAGATCAGTTGCACTGTATGTCCTTCTCGCTGAAACACTTATACGTTTCGCGGTGATTCTCATAATATGATCACCGTTGAATGGCAGTTTTATGAAGATCGGTTTCTATTGGACTGTTGGTACACGATCTCGCTTGGCCATGTTGCTGATGCGCTTTATAAACTGGATCGGATAACCGTTCGATTGCGATGTCTCGAACAACAAATGCTTCTGTTTCCAATATGCTCGGGATGCAAATCATGGGGGGGGGGACCGATGAAACAGCGTCCGGACAAGCAAGCATGCGTCGTAGCAGGAAGAAACGCTTAAAATGCAAATACTAACACGTCCAAGTTGCTTTTCGGTAGACTGACATGCACACCGAACCACTCAATCGCTGTATGATCAGTCTGTCTAGGTATTCCAGTGATGAAACGTATACCGATTGCAAAATAAGTGATAAGATAGCACCTAATGAGACGGTTAAAACGCTAGTAGTACAAGAGTCGTGGGTAATCGAGCACATTATCAGGAAAAAACACCTGCAAGTTAAAAGGTAAACGAAAGAAACATGTGTAAAATACATGATAGGGTTGATATGTACACGTACTATGCATATTTGCCTCGGCGGATCGTAGAATTGCGCGGTGTAGGGCCGGCATAACAGTGGACTTGAACACCTCAGGATTCACGCACGTAGAGATGACGCCGGTGCACATAGGCTATGGCAAGAAAAAAGAAAAAAACGATAATTAAGTACGGTAGTAACGATGACAGAAGTCAATGGAAATTCGCAGAAATGAACGCACGTCAAATAGCACGTAAAGATGTAAGCAAACAAAATGAAAGTCGTGAAAACCGGTAAGACCTTTGCTCGTGTAGAACAAGGCAGGAGTCAGATGTGATAGAAGTTGATAACTCAACAAAGAACAGGAGACTGATACTCATACGAGTAATAGAAATACTGCGCCACAGTAATTAAGGTATAAGGAGGATCAATGTGCACCATCGTGGTACGCTAGGAGACGGTAGGCACTAAGATGAGAAACGGGCAAATCAAAAGGCAGCGAGTAGACTACGGATAGCATTATCGGCTTAACACAAAGTGGTATTACAAAAAGAAACCCTGAAACAATAGATGATGAAGACTGTAGCAAGCAAAGTTCGGGAAACCAGCATGGTGATACTCCGCTTCGGAGAGGAGCGGTGTAGCAAGTGATCAGGCCTAATGTGGTTAATGGATCCTCGCACACTCAGAAAACAAGTTCTCGCTTCTCTTGCGTCCCGTAACTTCTTCGTGTTCTGTATTTTACGCGTCGGCAAGCTTTCACGGCACTTTTGTGACCTCCACATCGGTGGCCAAAAGGATAAAGCGTCTACCTAGTAAAATAAAGGTCGCCTATTCGACTCTGCGTAGGTGGTGGTAGTCGCGTAGCAGTGGAGCATCGATGCGGCGCACCGGCGTACTGCTGATGACCTTCCCACTTTTCGCCCCATTTGCATTCACCGAGCAACCAATGCAATCCGGACCCGTGTAGTTATTGTCAGCAGGGGGTCCCAATCAAACGGCTTTACAAGCAACTGCTGTTTTGTGGCATCATGAATGTGTTACACGATCCAAAAGCCTCAAGGCATGGACCCCAAAAAGATGCCATTCCGATGCAAACCGCTGCACTGCTTTCTGACGATCATCCTAGCGAGTAACGCTGGAAAAAGCGAGTCCAAGATGCTATAAACCGACAGTCCGACTAGGAGACGACAGCAAACAGCCAACTTGTACCGGTAGTGAACGATGTCTTATCATCTCTCCCAAAAACCGCAGGGAAAGTCAAATGAGCCTTCGATTGTGGGTGAAACTGACCAATAGTGCTCAGTTAGGGGGTTCAGTGACTTTACTTCTTGTTGCCATGTTGACGAGTGTCCTTTTAAGGTTTGCGTCATTCCGGATCCGGCGGTAAAGCCTCAGTACAACGTATTGCTGAACTAACGATGGAAAGGGATTAGGAAAAATGTCTAGCGCTTTCCGTGTAATATTTGACGCATTAGTGACAGAAATGATCAAAAAATGCCAAATGGCAAACGTCAGATGAAAGAGGTCCGGCCACAAGTGCTTAACAACTGTTCTGTGTAGCAGACAAGTAGTGGTATATGGTCGATAAAACCAGAGCAAAAGCAGAAACTCACCAGGTCAGATTCGGGTATATTCACCTTGGACATAAACATCGCCTTCAGTAAGTTATCGACCAGAAAAGATGTCTGAAAAGCGGTAAAAAGCAACTTAAACGCTAACCGATGTTGGAGAGGCGTCATTGCTCAACTTCATAGCGAAAGCAGAACTCAATGCCAAAGAGTGTCGACTGAGTTCAGAAACCTTAATGTATTCGACAACGGACGTACGAATAGACGGATTCTGAAATGTGATGAAATATCAAAAGTTAATACTTTGTCCCACATCTTGATACACGCGTTTCTGATGAAGCTTCGACGACGAGCAGATCGGTCTAGCAGGCCCAAGGAGGCCAAACGACACCATGAATGAACCTACAAGAGTGAGGTATTGAAACGTGATCAGACATACCAGAACACGAAACTCATCAAGACCATCATCTAACTTCGCAACGAATTCAGACAGGATAGAGAAGGGAAGTAGAAGGTCTCCAAAACGGCTGAAAGTTCGTGAAAAAGAAAAGCGTACCTGAAATGTTGATCAGAACGCAGCCTGAGACATGCTATTAGCTCAGAGGCCTCAGAAGCACATGTAGAATGGTCTTTGAGAAAATCTCTAATTGATCGGCACAAAATACGAGTTTCCTTGGGTGCGCAATGAACAGGTAGATCCTTGAGGAGTTGCATCAGTAAATGCGATGCTTCGAACACTGGGTTGAGAGCTAAAACAAGGACAAATGAAAGTGTAAAACACAACAGAGCAATCGGCTGAATGTGCCATAAGTGCTAGTATATAGTAGCACCGAAATGATGCGAGTGTAAAGTAATACGCGGCGGAACAGACATTGAGAATAGTAAATTTTTAGTATATAAAGTGTAACTGGTCTGTCTCAACAGCTCACAAGCGCGACAAACTAAGCCCCAGTCCGCAAAAGCACCAGACGATCGTTTGTCCTACTGGGGATCGTCAGTGATGCGCAGTCTCTCGGTCCCTGCAAGGAAGCGAATATATGACCACTAGCAGATTGAGCTAATTAACCGGCAGCTTATGCCACTAAGTTACGGTGGTTGCGATATGATCCGGTCTCTAGTCTATACACTAACATTGGTCTTATAGAAGCATTATACACCCTAACTTTCACTGACAGGCTGATATCCCACCGTCTCTGTAGACGGTTGAACCACTGGAACGACACACGGGTATTGCTGATACGCGAGGTAACTTCCTCAGTGATGTGGCAACAACAGATAACACAGATACCAATGTACGTGGACAGATACACCATTCCCAGTGGCTGTTCGCAGATAACTAGAGCAGGCGGCGTATCAGTCTAGTGCTGTAACACTGCTCGGCAATTCAAGGGTAAGAAGCACATACCGAAGCCTGCACCGGTACGCAGCAGTCTCAGCCGTGGTCGAATAGTGGCTGCGTCAGAATCAAAGTGAGCTGCATCGTCTGCAAACCTCGGGTTTGTCAGTCGATCACCTGATAGAACTTCCATTCCGGTAGAATCTGAAAGGACCGAGTGGTTTATAATCATTTCGGTCACAAAGTTGAAGGGGAAAGCAGATATGGGACAACCGTGGCGAACCTCATTTGTCGAGGGAAATCAGGAGACAGTTTCTCGTAGAACCTTACACGCATCTGGAGTCACGGTAGAGACTTGAAAATGAAAAGGAGTTTATCCGGCACGCCCTTCACAGATATGTAATGTCACAAGCTGGTGCGATCATAAGAGTCGAAGGCGGGCTTTAACTCGAGGAAAACCACCATAGTCGATCGTCTGTATGCGTCTTTGCTCTAAAACTTGGAGGTCGATGTGACCATGACAAGGGCGGAACACTGCCTGGCTTTCAGTGATTCGGTTCTCACGAGACTAGTCAGTCGTCGAAGAATGATACCCGTGAGAAGTTAGGAGACAATAAGAACAAGGCTAATGCTTCGATGATTTTCGCACAAAGTGCGCTAATTCCTCTTGAAGATGGGAATGACATGACAATCGCCAGTCTGAAGACACTTCTTCAGTGTCCCAAACCGTGTAAACTGGAAAAGCAATTTCAGACAACAAAGTCACTTCCATCTTTCAGCAAAGATGGAAGAAGGTCGTAGAGTCCAAGCCTCTCGTCTCATTTCAGCACAACGAGCTCATATCGAACCTGTTTCAAAGTGGGATGTGTGATATCTATAACCTACATAGGTTCAGTTGACTCAGCAAGCGGGGGTGTGGCATCACGCCTGCTGTACTGCACTTCAAAATACTAAGCCCATCGCGCTAATCCACGAGGCTAAAAATGAATCAACCGTCCATCTTCCCAGCCATTGGCTCGCTAACTAATGATTTTCTCGGACCCGTGCTCCGGATGGGTAGGGATGGTACTCGGCCGTTCCCAACAACAGTGACTTTCTTCATCTCACGGTTCTTACCAACCACCAACGTTCTTGGTCGTTTCGAAGACTTATGGTCAGACGCCATTAAGGGAATTACGGACACATTGAAACTCGGTGCCCATCAGAACCTGCTCCCGCGCTTCGATCAAACAGGTCGATATCTCAGAGATCCAGTTAGGACGTCACAAGTTAAGGGTACAGCATCTAACAATAGCATTTTTCATGGCACATCTCAGATGATGCCAACCAGCGTTCGGCTAACCATCATCGCTGACAACTGGTAAACCAGTTCGTTGATATTGCTCAACGGCAGATTGCGAGTTCACTCACTCTCACTCCTCTTTGAAGAGGAGTGAGTGTTAGACTGTGTGCACTAAAGCATGGTCGAAATCAAGGCACGTGATCCAAATGAACTGACAGTCTTGGATTGATGTGCACCACCAATATGGTCCATTTGGGTCTAAATCATTGAGGAATTCGGTGAGTGCCAGGTAACGCGGTGTGAACGTTTGTACTAGAAAACCGTCCTCAAGTAAAGACTGTGATCATCATCATCATTATACACGTCAGATAGAGGTAGGAAAACAATTCCGCTATCGTGCCGCAACACATGAAGGAAATACATACACACATACATAAAATACAATACACAAAGGAAAAGTAGATACAACAGTTGCATGCCAGCTCAGCTACCAGCAACAGATACGCATCGCTACGGTAAGCTAAAAGCCAGCTAATTGCAAAAAGAAAAAATTACTATGTTTAACCCTATGCAATGAGATCCTAGATGGAGGGTGAGGCTAAAAGTAATGGGGAGGGAAAAAGAAACTCACAGCAGGAACGCTATTGAGGTCGGCTCCTTGCCATGTCAGCAAGTGTATCCAGCCAGACGTGTTCACCGTCTTTTGGACCCCAACCAGGGAGCCGAGACGCACCAACCGAGGCTACCTCCGAAGTGAGGGACTTCATTCCTCTGGACCAAGTCATCGCTTAGTCACCCCTCCTCTTCCTCCATCCCCATCCCCGGTGAGCAAACACACGTCGCGGGAGTCGCTGGGCGGGCATGCGTACGACATGGCCCAGCTATCAGTGCATGGTGCGGGAAATGACGGTGCTGAGCGATTCAGTTCCTTTTTCTGTGCCGTAAACAAGGCGGCGAACAAGCTCGTTACTCACGCAGTATTCCCATCAGATGTGAGGAAAACTGCGAAGGCACCGATGTTCAAACGTAACTAGCCTCTTCATGTCCGCCGATCTTAGGGGCCAAGTTTCGCAACCGTACATCAGGGTCGAACATACCGTTGCATTGTACACTCTACCCTTCAGGGATAGAGTAATGTCGCGCCTCCGCCATAGGTGGCGAAGGCTAGCAAAACCACTTCGAGCTTTGCTATACGTTTCGCGATTTCGTCTTCGATCCCGAGGTCGATGGTGCAACTTCCCAAGTAGTGGAACGTTTGCACGACTTCTAGCTGATTCCCATCAAGGGCCAGCGCAGGAGGCGATCCCTGCCAATCTTGTAGGAACGCTTTGCATTTCCATGATGCGAAGCAAAACCCGAAGTGGCTGACAGCCAGTGCTAATCTGTCCAGCGCGGCTTGGCACGTCTGGGAGCTGTCACAGATGAGGGCAATGTCGCCTGCATACTCCAAGTCAAGAAGTCGTTCTCCTGGGAGTAGCTCCACACCTTCCAAGTCATGTCCCGTAAATGCAAACTCCATGGCTTCGTCAACAGCGCAGTTGAAGAGGAAAGGTGACAGCAGGCATCTGTGTCTCACACCGCTGGAGATATTGAAGGGTGGCGACAGCTTGCCGTAAGCCCTCACTCTGCCAGTGCTACGCGCATATAATGCTTGGATAATATTTACATATTTCTCGGGCACACCTTTAATGAATAAACAATTCCAAAGGGCACATCGATCAACCGAATCGAATGCACCTTTGATGTCGAGGAACACGACAACGGTGGGCTGCCAATATGTGTGACGGTGCTCCAACAACTGACGCAAGGTGAAGATGCGGTCGATGCAGCCACCACCCCGACGAAACCCGGCTTGCTCCTCACGAATCTGGCTTTCACGAGCGCCACTCGGTCTGTGGAGAATTATGGAGGCAATGGAGACCAGACTGATTCCTCTATGGTTGCAGCATTCCGAATACGAGTCGCCTTTGAAGATGGAAACAATAACGGAGCGACTCCAGTCGGTTGGGACAGTCTCCTGCTCCCACAGTTTCACTAGTAATTCATGTAAAGCATCAACAAGAGCAGAGCCCCCGAATTTGAAGTGGGCTGGAGGAAGACGATCTGGTCCCGCGGTTTTTTTCAACCTCAACAGTCCGATCTCACGTTTGACTTCTGAGCGAGAGGGTGGATCCGAAGGGACAGCCCACGGAGCACGGCGATCACCTGCCGGCGGAGAATCGAACAATTCTGGCCGATAAAATTGCTTCTCAAAATGCCCAACGCTCCAAACATTTTGACAAATTGTGGATAGGCTGTCCACTCTCGTCACGTATAGTCGCACTAACACCAGGTCTACTGCTGCCCGTTTCTCGTATGAGACGGAATAACTTACGATGGTTGCTAAGGGCAGCGGCCACTTCCATCTCTGACGCACGATGAGACCACAAAGATTCGCGGTCTCTCTTCAGGCTAGCACGGAGTTTTGCCCGGAGCTCTTTGCGAGTTTCATTGTGCTCGCTTCCAGCCGGGATATGCCGGCGAGAGTCGATGGTTCCGGAGACCGAGAAGAGACCCAATGTCCAAGTTGGCTATTAGACAATGAGGCTGGACCTAACCGTGGTGCGATGATTTGTGTGCCTCAGCGATCCATTAAGTTATGCTGGGTGGTGCTTTTGCACCTTCAGAGTCACTCATACCAGACTGGTCAATGATTAGAGGCCAGACAAACTCAGACTCCTGGTCCTCCAGGTTGGGGGTTAAAAGGAGGGTGGCACCTTATCCATTAAAACGGACTCCTTGTAGCCCAACGCCAAACCCGCTTCCTTGCAGCAAGGTTTTTGAACCAAAGGTTTTGGTTGAGAACCCTAATCGTTCTCCTGTCTAGGCCTGGGCAACCTGACAGTATCCTGCCCACGCAATACCATGAATGTTACCTCAAACATACCGCCGATGCTCTGGCCACAGCAGAGGATAATCAACGGTGCCCTTTCTGCTGCATCCAGCAGGGTGGATAGGGGTTTGCATGCTACTGCTCAAGCCGTCCCCTCTTCTCATTCCCCCACGTACGTTTTTCACTCTTACCGTCCCGCTCCAACTTCACTTTTATCCCCCCAGTTTTCAACCCCCGATATTTGGCGCTCCCCGGACATGCTTTGCTAGGCAATAATATTCTAATTTCAACTAAACGTGAAAGCGGAGCGTCACTCCT